GTGGTTTCGTTTCGCTCGTTTCTGTGGTTTCGTTTCGTTGCTTCGGGTTTTAGTACATGCCTTTTTATAGTGGTAGTATTCCTCACCATTCTGGACCATAGATCTTTGCTTTCTTGACTTAGCAAGACGCGAGGCTCTCCGGAACTCCGAGCGAACGTAGCCAAATTCTGGCTATTTTGGCCACACAGCGCATGCTTTGTCCAAAACCTAATAAGTGCTGCTGGATTTACAATGGACTCCCTTTGGGACTAACATGCATTGTTCAACCTTTTTTTTGTTTACATTATGAGTTGATGTTCACAAATTAAATTACTTTTCAAAAATGTTTTAAATTCGTCGAAATTTTCTCGAGCCTACGTATTTTGACACGGAATTCTAAAATTTTGGCTTTGCCATAATCATGTGGAATAAAAAGCTGAGTTCTTCCTAAATGCAGTCCCTTGTTTGAACAATTGCGCTTTTATTGTTTCAAAGGAAACAAATCAGTACAGACTATTTGGCTGAATTCCCATAGAGCTATTTGCGCCATCAGTCATGCGCAAAAGATAATAGCTGTTGTTCATCTTTGGCCACATTTTAACTCGTGAATTGAAGCGCATGCGCAATGGACGGGTTATTTAGTATGGTGATCAATGTAAGGTAGTGATATTTATAAAGTAGAGTTATTAAGCAGACATGTGTTCCTCTCCGAAAAAAAAAAAGATTCTTATACAGTTGTATAACTTACAAGCTTTGCTTACAGTGCAGCCCCGCAAGGTAAGTGGTTTGACGTTCTAATGCTTCCTCAGGACGTTTTTATTTCATGTTGAGTAGTAGTAGATTTGGTATTTGTCTTTAATGCGACTGGAAGTAGATTGAAAATATATAACTACGTCATAGCAGCAGTAGGGTCCTGACTGGACTTCTGTTTGTGGTGTCCAGGGTAGCGCGAGTTGTGGCTCCTAAGAAGGCGGCTCTCAAAGAAGCTGAAGCAGAGCTGGCTGTTGCCATGGAGGTGAGGAACTCCTTTATTGTATTCGATGATTTACAACTGAGTTGAGCTTGAGGTCAAAAAATCGTGAGTTTCCATTATGCTCTGAGTACCAGTCTCTACACATAACAAATGTTGAAGAATTATTCAATGAACCAAGACTCGATCCGAGAGGTGTAGCTACTCCATATGACTATGTTACATTTATTTACGCTGATAAACTAGCTTCCATTTTGTAAACTAGGAAAAGAGTTAAAGAATCATCCTTTCCTTTGAGAAGGCTCGTCACTTTACTGTGTTTTGACACCGTTTTTCAATGCTAAGCCACGCAGAATAAAGATATAACTGAACTGTTGATGCATTTCTTGGCAGAGTTTGAATAAGAAGCGTTCCGCTCTTCGCGAGGTTCAGGACAAGCTTTCTCGACTGCAAGAGAAGTACGAAGCTAATGTGAAGAAGAAGGCAGATCTTGAAAAACAAGTACGAGCGTATCATGAATTTTGTTAACGCAATATTTTATATTGCTCTTTTTCCTTCATTGTGTACTATCCCTTTGTTTATAGGTTGACCTTTGTACCAAAAAACTTGACCGCGCAGAGAAATTGATTGGTGGTCTTGGTGGAGAAAAAACAAGGTATATCTCCTTCATTTCTTCTCAGTGTTTTTCCTGTTCTCGAATTTGTCATAAAACTGCAGCAAAAATCGGCCTTTTTTGAAGAAAGGAGCATTATTACCCACATCTCAACGGAAATAAATTAGGGACGAAGAGGACGGTGACGAGAACGTCACCAAACAAAAGGTTGAATGAGCAAAACAATGGCTGTGCACGTGCGTTATAAATCTTTGTACATTTCTTTGCCGTCCTCTACAAAACAGGAACGTGAAATGACCAAGTTCTGCGTAGTCTAAGGAACGCGAACGATGACGGTTAATTTGTCGTATTTTTATTAGAAAGTGAACGCTGTTATTACATAATTAGCCTGAGCAAGTTTTTAGAGCCATTGGCGTCCTGGGGCCTGTTTCTCGAAAGCCCCGGAAACTTTTCAGGCCCGCAAAGCCATTTTTAGTCAATCGGTATTTAAAGATAAAGAAGTGTATACACCTGAAACTTGTTGTATGTAGGGAACCTCTGTTCCTATTGAGAATATGTGCATAAAACAGTTCTGAAGTCATAAGGTTTGAGATTTTGCGACGGCTTTTCGGGTGCGAAAACTTTCGGGACCTTCGAGAAACGGGCCCCTGAACAGATCTGGACAATTGCGAATTTCGTTGGTAAAATATAAATTCATTTTTGAATAGACGTCGTCGTCGCAGTTGTCCGTTTCGTAAACGGTCGATACCAATTTCGCGACACTTAGAAACTTTTTAACTATCAACGAATTTTTCTCTACGAAATTAAAGAAAAAAGAAAAGTTGTAAGTAACCACCCAGTATCGAACCCGAAACCTCTGTTTCCTAACATCCCTCTTCTACCACTACACTACCAGGTTGATCCGCCAAATCTCCGCAGAATTTCATCATAAAACATGACTTTCTTAAATATTAATGATAGAGTTGCCCCAACCATCAAATAAAAGCTAACCGCAAGCAAACCAGTGTGAATATGAACAATCAAGCATTTGACGAATGCGTTTTACTCAATCAACAAATTAAAACCAGTTTCTACCTTGTCCAGGCCTATACTAAAGCAGATATGGCATCGTCCATTCTGAAAGGCTTGGTTACTAATGATGGCATCGACCGTTAAAAATGGCATCGACCGTTTACGAAACGGAAATCAGCGTCGTCGTCGTCGTCGTTGCTTAAGCTCACTATTATGTAAACATTTATGGTTTTTAATTAGTTTATAATATTCTTTTGTTACAGGTGGACTGAAGTGGCCAAGCAGCTTGGCATCAAGTTTGAGAATCTAATCGGTGACGTGTTAGTATCATCTGGAGTAGTGGCTTACTTGGGAGCCTTCACTGCTGCATTCAGACAGGAGCAAACTGCAGATTGGGTAAAAGCCTGCCGCAATACCAATATCCCTTGTTCTGACGACTTCTCGGTCACAGGGACTCTCGGTGACCCTGTGAAAATAAGGGACTGGAACATTGCAGGCCTGCCAACTGACAGCTTCTCTATTGAGAATGGAATCATCATCAGGTACTGTGAACCCTGTGCCATTGCAGCTGTTTTCAATTATGTGTCGTGAAAACAAAACCAGAGCAATCAAAATTACCGATCACAGAAGAAAAAAGGAGCACAACGCACCAACAAGAATCGAAATTACCGGCACCAAACGTTAGAAAGCCAGATGGCCAAGTGGCGACTGGTTTTGATTGGTTCAGAAAGTGGTGGGAAATTTTTAAGCAATCACAGAATGCATTAGAGCAAAACCAAAGCAAAAAACCGCAACATAATCTGACTTACACCGACGGAATTGTTTATCCTTCAGCAATGCAAACCGATGGCCGTTGATGATCGATCCTCAGGGTCAGGCCAACAAGTGGGTGAAAAACATGGAGAAGAAAAACAACTTGCATGTGATCAAAATGACAGACGCTGATTACGTCAGGACGCTGGAGAACTGTATCCAGTTTGGAACACCGGTACGTTGACTTATTTCATGCTTCGTTATTTTGACTTACCTTTGCATTATACCGAGTTGCTCTGTCGTGATTATTTCCACTTTAGGTCTTGTTAGAAAACGTTGGCGAGGAACTGGACCCGCTGTTAGAGCCGCTACTTCTGAAACAGACCTTCAAACAGGGCGGCAGTATCTGCATCAAGCTTGGAGACAGCGTTATTGAGTACAGTAAGGACTTCAGGTCAGTAACACTGACTCAGCCTGGCTTTTTGTGTGTTCGCAGTTGTATTGTTCACTATTAGTTACCGGACGCGACAGTTGAGTGGTATCTAAACTACTTATCAGTGACTGTGCTTTGGATGAAAACGTCTTCAGTAATGAGAAAGTGTTGTTCAATTTCCTGCTTTATTGATATTAAATCTCACATTCTCTTTAGCTGCCAAGGAAAACATGTAGTGGAAGATGATAGTCAAATTGTTTGTAGTAACAACCACGATAAGAAATGTACGAAGTAGTAAAGGCCAAAGGTGGATTTGTTATTAGTCAGGATAAGTGAACTGCAGTGTGAAGTGTAATTGTGCGAATAATTTACAGAGCTGAGAGGATAGAAACGGATTTAACATTAATCTCTGCTTTTCTATATGACTTAGTCTGTGAAATTTCTTGTGCTCTTCAGGTTTTATATAACAACCAAGCTCAGAAATCCGCACTACCTTCCAGAGACCGCTGTTAAGGCAAGTAGCTCTCCTAACTTGTTGAAGGAAGAAGTAAACAAGCTCAAGATTCTTCAACACTGCTGATATAAACTACATGAAATTTCTTCGCACAACCCTGAAAACTTGGACATGTTAATTTTTCTGAATTCCCTTTCCCTTTTTCCCTCTCGAACAAAAGGTATAAAACGCTAACTAGTTTTGCGTTCTAAGTAGTATTACTCAGCCTGTTATAGCTTGTTGGATTAATTGATTGTGATGTGTGAATATTTTCACTTTTGTGCAGGTGACCCTGCTGAATTTTATGATCACACCTGAGGGACTGGAGGATCAGTTGTTAGGGATTGTAGTGGCACGAGAGAGGCCTGAGCTCGAAGAAGAGAAGAATGCACTCATTATCCAGAGTGCAGAGAATAAGAGGTACAACTTCACTCCTCTTCCTATCACCTGCATTACCGCTTGGTGTCAACTTATTTTCCAAATTTGTTTCTATCAAAACAGGCAACTAAAGGAAATTGAAGATAAGATTTTGGAGGTTCTTTCTGCGTCTGAAGGAAACATCCTGGAAGATGAGACTGCTATCAACGTTCTTTCCTCATCAAAGGTTCTGGCCAATGAAATCTCTGAAAAGCAGGTCAGTCCACAGTCGTGTTGTCTTCATTATCATCAGTCTTAGATGTTATCACTTTATTCTGAGATGTGATTGGATTTGTTTTAGGCCATAGCAGAGGAAACAGAGAAGAAGATAGACAACACCCGCATGGGTTACACGCCTATTGCCACTCATTCAGCTGTACTGTTCTTCTCCATTGCTGATCTGGCCAATATTGAACCTATGTATCAGTACTCGCTCACGTGGTTCATTAATCTCTTCATTTTATCCATCGACAATTCGGAAAAATCAGAATTACTGGAACAACGGTAAGCAAACAGCCCCCTAAAACGTTTTACGTATTTTATGGTCACGATGTCTTATGCCGTTTGTCGGAATTCTGTCTTAACTGTCGAGCTGTTGCTTAGAAACGTGACGTATCCGGATAGTAACAAGCTGATGCGCTGTATCCAATGTGACTGTGGCCTACATAGATTATGTTTATAAACTATGTAGAATCAATTTTCAATTTACATTTAAAACCTCTTGCACCATGGATTGCCAAGACTGCAGTAATTTCATTAAGTTATTATGACCTTTGCTATTTCAACAGACTGGAGAATTTGACAAATCACTTCACTTATTCTCTGTACTGTAATGTGTGTCGCTCACTGTTTGAGAAGGACAAGGTAGGATATTTTTCTTCTCTTCTCGTCTTTGTTTAACGAGAACTCTAAATTTGAACTGTTTTTGTCAATTGTTTTGTGTTTGTTTTAAAGACAGGCTCTATCTCAGATGACTGAATGCCTCAATAGCAGATTTGCACGTTGTCGTCATTTGACTACAACTGCCAGAATTCCTTTCGATTTTTCTTTATTATTTAAATTTTGAAGCCCTAGTAGTGTTTAAATAATAATCGCCCTAATAAGCATAAGAAACGGAAAAAGTGAAGGCTTCTGGTAGTTGTACTCAAATGACGCCATCATGCAAATCGCCTATTGAAACTCCTAGTCTTATAATGTTGTACGTAACAAGATTTCTTTGTATTGTTGGTAATAGTTATCTTATGCACGAAAGCTACAACTTCATTCTTGTATCTGTTGTTGTTGTTACAGCTGTTGTTCTCGTTTCTGTTGTGTGTCAACCTGCTAAAAAGCAAAGGAGACGTGTGTGATAATGAATGGCGTTTCTTGTTGACTGGTGGAGTAGGCCTGGACAATCCTCATTCTAATCCGTCGCCGTGGCTGCCGTCACGTTCCTGGGACGAGTTGTGTAGGCTGGATGACTTGTCCATGTAAGTTGTACTTGTTACTGCCAAAAGGCGAATCCTTCCTTGGCTACATACAACAACTGATTCCAAACACGCAAACGAGAAGAGGTTTGAACTAAGAAACAACAAAAAATACAAACTTACAAAATGTAGATATATAACGCTGACAAGCGACCTAAAGCGAAACGCAATGAACATAATAACTCAAAGCTTCCATTGTACTGGCGCTGTAGCCCGCGAAAGAGCAACTCTATATAGGTTTATTACACTAGATCTATTCTCGTTGAGATCAACAGTGAAACTAAAAACTGCAGCGTGCGCGAAAACTAAAAAACTAGAATATTTAACAAGATGCAAATTATACTAAACGCGCAGGAAAGAAACACAAAACAGATTCCCAAAGGAACGCTAATGAACCCAAATAAAAGAGAGTGCTAGATTCTACAGTACTGTACAGTGATAACTGACGACCTCCCAGTTGTTGTTGTATTAACTTTATTTTAAAATCTTTTTCTCCTGGTAGGTTTAAAGGTTTCCGACAAAAGTTTCCTAAACACCTAGAAGGATGGAAAAAGATTTACGACAGCAATGTAAGCGATGTAGTATTGTCACTTATTCTTTTTTACAAGCTGTTTAGTGACTTGTGAGGACTAATAAGAGAGATGAACTGTCACTGCTGATAAATTCGAAGTCTAACTAATTCTGCGTAATTTGTTCATCCTACTGGTACCATCGCCAAGCGTGGAGTAAATGCTCCTGTGTACAATAGCAGTAATTTACTGATCTTTCTTATACAAACAGGAGCCCCAGAATGAGCCTTTGCCTGGAGAGTGGAATGAAAAACTCGGACAGTTTCAAAAAATGGTTATCCTACGCTGTCTTCGACCGGACAAGGTATGTTATGTCACTAAGTAATTAACGGCAGTGTATCTAGAACACAAGCACTTGATGTTGTTTTTCTCTTCAAAATCTTAACGCCAAACTACAGTGAACGCTCGCATTGGGCCACTAGATTGTTTTTATCGTTGCGCTTGTTCTTTCCATGTCTACAGCTTATTCAGAGCAAGACATTCTCTGAACAGTCATGCGAATGTTGGTGAACTTAAAGAATTTGCCGTTACTGAATACCGAGGTTTTTCATTTCAGATGACGCCCGCAGTCCAAGACTTTGTTACCGTTAAGCTTGGCAAACGGTTTATTGAGCCACCGCCGTTTGACCTTGGCAAAGCATTTGCTGATTCCAACTGCTGTGCCCCTCTCATCTTCGTTTTGTCTCCGGGATCTGATCCTACAGCCGCCCTGCTCAAGTTTGCTGATGATCAGGTACATTGCACAGTCTATCCTAATTTTCTGCTATTGCTCCTCATCCCTCAGTCCAGTCCCTGAGTGAGGTGGGGATTGGGTGAAGGACACAACTTACATTCTAGTCTTGTCAGAGTATTAGATCTTCTTCATTTCCCCGACAATCTAAGCAAACGACGGGAAACCTTTAGTAGTGAGGCTGACCAAAGATGTACAATGATAGGATTCAATACAGTGTGGACAAACTTAATGCGTTGGGCTTACGATTCCTTCAACATTTTGTTACAATCTTGTGGCAACGTCTGATTTCATTAAAGTTTCCTGCAGTGTTTTAAGTGACATACTGTTGATTGTGTTGTTACCACAGGGTTTTAGTGGATCCAAGCTGAGCTCACTATCATTAGGTCAGGGGCAGGGTCCAATTGCCATGCGCATGATAGAGAAGGCCGTCAAAGATGGCACCTGGGTGGTGCTGCAGAACTGTCACTTAGCAACATCATGGATGCCGACACTTGAGAAAGTCTGCGAGGTAACAGCCGTTACTGATGTTCCAATCACTCCATCGCTATTCTCGACTTATTTCCTCTCCCAAGACGGTTTATTTAGCGTTCAGTCTGATCAAAAACAAATGATTACAACAATTACCTTATTTAAACAACCTGTCCTGAATAACTGTACTGACATTTGTAATGGGAAATAAAGATGTTGGTGGTGGTGGTGGTGATGGTGGTGGTAAAACCTCTTGCGATGACTAGTAAATGGACTCAAGGATAGAACTCACTACCTTAAGATACAATTTAAGTTTTTTGAGCGATCACTGACCTGTCAAAAGCGTCTACATATGAAGCTACTCCTAAATCTCACTTACGGATACAGCAAATATACTTTTCTGTAAGTTCCAGGAAAAATCTGTGAAATCTCTGCTAGGCGACCACCTCCTATAAGCGACCAAAAAAAACAAAAATTAAAAAATAAAAAGTGTACTAGTGTATCAGTTTGACATTTGGTAAACTAATATTACGAGAAGAACGTTAACTGATTAAAAAATCCGAACTATGGGAATTTGATCGGTTGGTTAGTTGCAAAACGCGACCGAGGAGTTAAGCTGGGAACCATAGAGAACAAAACCATTTCTTTGTTCTCTGATGCCAAGGGTTTACATACCAATGTTACCCGATCCTAACTGATAAGTTCTGAGTGCAGTGTTTTAAGAAGCAGTTTATCACTTGTGTTGAAGGAGCTGAATCCAGACACAACGCATCCTGACTTTCGTCTGTGGCTGACAAGTTACCCGTCGCCAAACTTCCCAGTGTCTGTACTGCAGAATGGTGTCAAGATGACTAACGAACCTCCCAAGGGCCTGCGCTCCAATGTCATCCGGTCGTACCTGAGTGACCCCATCTCAGACCCAGAGTTCTTTACATCGTGCAACAAACCGGTCAGTATCAAAACAAACAGCAATTCCTTTACTACACGCTGATCTGTATTTACGTCAACGTTGTTTTACCTCTATAGATTTTTGGTAAATTTAGCCTTGAAAACTTATACATACAATAAATTAATCTTGGGTTTGCTCTTAAGTGTGACTAGCATCTGCGAGAGGAATATATTCCTTTAGAAACCTCGAATTTACAGATACTTTTTAAAGCTGTCGCGCACACAAACCCTTGGAAATTACGCAATGTATCGTTTTGACCCGTTTCGTTTCATACCATAATTTTGCATGTTCCTCCAATATGTGGAAAAGGTTATTATTGTGTGATTTCAGTTTTAATGCGAGATGTTTAAGAGATTGCCTAATGGCTATAGCTAAGCGGCTGTAATCCTAAATCCTCTCTTTACCTTACATTTCAGCGAGAGTTCAAGAAAATGTTGTACGGTTTGTGCTTTTTTCACGCCATCGTCCAAGAGCGGAGAACGTTCGGTCCCTTGGGCTGGAACATTCCGTACGAATTCAATGAGACTGACCTACGGATTAGTGTTCGACAGCTTCACATGTTCATGAACAAATACAACGTAAGTGCTGCTATCTTCCCTCTTTTATCCTGTCAAAAACTGCTCAAATATTGACTGCGTAACCCGTGTGTATTGAGTTCGTCGAGATCACAGGCTTAGCAAAATGTTAACCCGGGGCGTGAGATGCGAACAAGCCAGTGGGGCTGGGGAAAGACAAGGATATTTTTTCGCCCGCTTCGGGGTGGCTCTCGCGCTCCGCGCTCGCTTCGCTTGCACGCTCGGGAGAAAAAAGAAAGAAACTCGCAGAAAAAAATAGTCTGTGGACAGACTAAGGTTAGTCAAAGTCAAAACTGGAGGACAAAAAGTAAATGTAGCCAAAAACGTGATCAAAATCAAAACTGAAAGTAAAATTCAGGCCAATCCTGGAACTGGCCTCTGGTATTTTATTCGAGTGAACCGGTTAAGGGTGGGAAGTCACAGAGTACTGATGTTTCCCTGATAATTCTTTGGCTACACTGATGAATGTCTTTCTCTGTGTACAGGAAGTACAATTTGCTGCATTGAAATATCTGACTGGAGAGTGTAATTATGGTGGTCGGGTGACTGATGACCGTGACAGACGAACGCTGCTGACGATCTTGGACAAGTTCTACAGTCCGGACATCATAGACGAAGACTACAAGTTTTCTCCTAGTGGCAGTTACTTTGCTCCCAAGGAGGGCGAATACGACTCGTACATCGAGTATTCCCGGAGCTTGCCGTTAATCACCCACCCTGAAGTGTTTGGCATGCATGCTAATGCAGACATCAGTAAAGATCAACAAGAGACGCACTTGCTGTTCAACAGCATTCTGTTGACACAGTCACGAGCGTCCTCCAAGGGTGGCAAGTCAGAGGATGAGGTGGTGTTTGGTGTAGCAGAAGACATCCTGGAGAAGTTGCCTAAGAATTTTGACACTGAAGCTGCACTGCGCAAGTATCCTACCACGTACACACAGAGTATGAACACGGTGCTTGTACAGGAGATGGTGCGATTCAACAGACTCACAGAAGTGGTGCGATCCTCGCTTATTAACATACAGAAGGCCATCAAGGTACGCATACCTTGCTCTCAGGCAACTTTGTTTGCACACTGATATCAATTTTTCAACATTCATATCTAAATGATCAGCGTGCAAAAAAACCTCATGTCCGATAGCTCGGGGCTAAAAGATTCTGTAGTCAAGGATTCTGTCCTTCACTTACCCGACGTGCTAGTTTAGTGTCTTGGGAAAACATTTGAGGAAATTCAAATTACAAAAGTACTGTAAGGCCTCGTCTACACGAGCAATTTTTTATGTGACAATTTTTATTCGCTCGTGTAGATGAGGGAAATTTGCCAATTTTTATGTGACAAATTTATTTGCTGAAAAGCTGGCCTGTTAGCTTTTATGACAAGTAAAAGTTGTCACATACGAAAAATTGCTCGTGTAGACGACTCGTCACATAAAGTGTGGCAAATATATTCGTAAGCGCCATATTCTTTGGGGGCGGCTAAGCAGCCCCGCCTTGTTTCTGCGTGTCTCTGCTGTCCGACGTCATTACTGGCGCACTAAACATTGAACCGTTGACAAATATTTCCTGTGCCATCCACACCATCAAATATATTCGTCACAAAAATTCCTCGTGTAGACCAAGCTTAAGAGGAAAGTTTGTGGGGCTAGTGAGAATGACTTTCGAACTAGCATAAGCCATGGGTTGATCTTGGTGGTTTCGGGTAGATCATATACATGTATTTTATACCATGCCATACGGTGGCCAACACAATCAAAGCGACATAAGCGCGGCGCATGATGGGAAGGGTGGATGCAATACCGTCGAATATGGAACGGCTTCCCTGTATTCTGATTGGCTGTATTTTCTATGGCGCGGTATAAAAGGGAATGTTCAGTTGTACGAATCTTGCTGTATTCTGGCTAGCAAGACTAATAAAAATGCGCGCTGATCTTACACCCAACAATGTCGACGAGATGTCTTGTTCGATGTTTGTCTTTCAGGAAATGCAGACACAAAGCCCTCTTTTTCAATGTGGGCGGTTTAATTTGATTACAAATAACATGCTCAAACTGTACTCTAGGGTAAAATCATATGGCGTATTGTTAATATCTGTTTATAACTGAGTAGAACGGGATAATGTTTGAGGTGGTACCTCGTAAAATCCAGCTAAATTTGAACTTGCTTTTTTGTGTTTCTAGGGCTTAGTTGTGATGTCTTCTGAACTGGAAGAAGTTGTGAGTGGCATTCTCAAAGGAAAAATCCCCGGTCTGTGGATGAAGAAGTCCTACCCATCACTCAAACCTCTCGGAAGTTATGTCAATGACCTTATCGCCCGACTCAAGTTTCTTCAGGAGTGGTATGATGTGGGAGCGCCCCCAGTCTTTTGGGTATCTGGATTTTTCTTTACTCAGGCATTCTTGACGGGTTCAAAGCAGAACTACGCCAGAAAATATACCATACCTATCGACCTTTTGACCTTCGACTTCGAGGTGCTTGATGACAAGAAATACGACACCCCACCCGAGGATGGAGTCTACGTATCAGGCTTGTTCATGGAAGGTTCGCGCTGGGACAGAGAGAAAAAGGTGATCGGCGAATCTCACCCCAAAGCACTTTACGATCACATGCCTGTGATGTGGCTCAAACCCTGCAAAAAAGAAGCTATTGTTGACCGACCACATTATATTGCTCCTGTGTACAAGACCAGTGAGAGGCGCGGAACACTCTCCACCACAGGACACTCCACTAACTTTGTCATGGACATGCGCCTGCCGTCCGACCAGCCGCAGTCGCACTGGATCATGCGCGGTGTAGCTCTTCTTTGCCAGTTGGATGATTAAGTCAATAGACTGTGTCAATACACCATGTATATAGTCAGTCGTGCTATCCGTTGTATTTCATTCATTTTATACTTGGTACTCACAATTTAAGTGTTGATATGACGTTTATTTCCTTCGAATTTTTTTTTAAATATTTTTTTACTGTTTTTCCCCTTCAGTGCTCGTTTTAGAGCTGCGAGTTGTCCAAATTAACAAGTGTGCAAACTATAGACTTGAAACAAGCTTCTTCTGGTGTGGTTTTGTAGTGGCTTCCATAAGAATAGATGTTGTACAAAGAAATTCTCTATTAAACACTTTGCTTTTTAAAGTTCCTTTTGTTTTTTTCTTAAATAAGCAGAGTTGCTCTTGCTGTAAATAAAGCCTCGAAATGGAGAGTAACAAAGTAAATATCTCCCTCATTGACTGACAGTAGTGTGCACGGAAGTAGGTAAATCCGAAATCATCCTCAAGTAATGCCTGGAATTGAATAATGTTCCATTCAAACGACCATGGAATGGCAGGTAAATAATAACAATAAGTTTGTATTTAAACCGTAGATAAGGGAGTGCCTTCGATATGATGGGGACTGTTGTTAGTGCATGAGGTCTTGAATTCTACAGTGTAAATTTTTTGGGATATGACCTAATTATAGAATCGATAAAATTATGTTGTGACTTACAAATCTGGTTACATAACGTCGTCGAGCTACATAACTCGGTGGGTGTAAGACTTATCTTGTTCGAACAAACCATAGTCGATTTCTGTAGGTGACCCCAACTCGGAGCGAGGTTTTGTTTCATTCATGACGTCAAACGCGAGCGGGTTGGCAACAGAGGAGTCGGACACAAATAAATGTTAGCTTTTGGAGACTTAGACTCTTGATTAACTCTCAGGTTGATCTGAGAAAAGATCACTGATTCCTTAACTGCCAATGACTTCCACACTTAAGCCATAACTTTAGTCGCAAATTAACTCCACGCTACTTGCTTTGAATAAAAACGCACGCGTCACTTTCGTCACGGTGGTGAGGGGGTGGGGGACAAAATGTGAACCGCTTACGAAAATTTCGATCGATTTTTCTCGCTTAGGTTATCCTCGGAGACCCAGGGGCAGTTAGTTGGTGCGGGAGGAAATAAATCCAGCAAAGATCGACGCGTGGAAAGCTAGTATTTGTTGCCTCCCTCACCAGCTAACCGCCCCTGGCGGAGTCTGCGTGGATGCGCCTGGGTGAGACACAGGCGACCAAGTAGCCTCTTCCAGGCGTTCAGTTAGTTGGGGCGCAGCGCGAAAAACAGCGCGCGAAAAATAAAAAAAGCGCGGCGAGAACTGTGCGTTCTCGTTACTCTCGAACGTAATAGAGCACTCAACATTTACTTAACTCTTCCATTTGCGTAGCCTAAGACACTAAAGCCCAGTAAAAAATAAGACAAATATGTACTAGTTATGCAACCCTTTCGAGTGGTATACCATGGAATATCCCACTAAACACTTGCATTTTCTCAGTATAAACACGAGCCCTCAGGCGAAGGTTGGATGTAATATTAACGTTGATTGTAACATAGCGCGCGCGCTGGTCCTACCTAATTCCTATTGAGCCGTCGTGGTAGAAATCTCTATATATGCACGGCCATGCGTATATAACATGACGTGTGTAGTTTCATTTTAGCTGCAAAATTTCTGTCGAGTTTAGCTGCGATTTCCCTTTGTTAAAGTTTCGGCAATATAAAACATCATTCGGAAAAAATCCGAACCCTACTTCCTTTGACTTTCCCCAAGCTAAGATGTTTACTAAAACTTGAGTGTTTGACATAAGTTGTCTACATTTTCATCGAGTATTTTTGACTCGCTACTTACGTTTTTGTTACATGTAATTCGAAGAAGCGAATTTTTCATCTGACAATGAAGCGTTTTCGTTCAACCGTAGTTCAAGTGGGATTAGTTGCATGTCAGCGCAGGAATGATTAGGATGAGAAAGAAAATGTTCGGCAACAGTGGTGGGTTTTAATGTTAGTTTTGTATTGTAAATGGCAGCGGTTACACTGTATCATGTAGATTGAATTTTTGGTGTTACAGGTTATGTGCGAAGTGGTGTGACGGGTTGCACCTGTGGAGAAGAAAGTATATTGTGTAAGACCGTTAGTAATGTAAGTACAAGTAGCACAATCTTGTCCACAGCAGAATGATCTCGGTGGTAAATTAGTGTTATTAGGAGTCGTGATATTGGGTAGTTAAGCTTTAACTAAAATGTCGCGAAGGTTAGAGGTGCGTCTGTAGGCGATGATGGGTGGGTGTTTAAAAACTTCCCTCCAGCGGTTGGAGGAAAGTAATATGCTAAAATGTTTACTTGAGATATTAGAAATGTGAGAAAGTGATGGGTTATACGTAACAACAAAAGGTAAGAGGTTAATGGAATCGTGACGGTTAGTATCTAGAGAGTCAGAACGAGAAATATTAGTAGCTCGTTTGAATTGTGAACAACACTAGTTTACCACCGGGCTGTTGACAAGATTGCGCTACTTGTCACGCTCGCATTCGGATTTGAATGGCTATGGCTCACAAACGAGCACGGGCACCCCAATTTTTTTTCCAGTCATTGTAATCAACTAATCATAAGCTTTGCGTGAGAAAAGACTGAACTAATTTCTATTGCTGAAAATTGAATAAATAAGAAAAATAGCAGACACTGTGGTCTTTTCTATTTTGCAGACGGTAACCACGTCAAGAAATTTGGTTAAAATTTTTAATCAAGGATTTAACTTTCTGCCTGAATCAAACTTAAAATGTTTATTTGTGTTCGACACAATGCATTGACTGTAGTTTAATGCGAATTCTTATAAGTCTGGGTTCACAAAGATTTTACAATTACTGGGAATGCGTTCTTATAATAAGTATCAAATAATGCCAGAATGGGGCATTCTCAATGCCTCACTGCTCCTTAATGAGCTTGGGCACCCCCCTTTTTTATTTCAAAATTGAAGTTATAATATGACAAATATTCAGTGGACAAAGTTTGAACAAAACTCTATTGTCACTTTTATTTCAGAGGAATTACCTTAAATTTAACTCTTTCCATAGCCTGTTGGCAGAATCGCAAGATCGCTCCGGTTCCAAAGCTTTCTATTTTCGGAAAGCGAGATAAACATTCCTGCAAGACGTGCACGTATCCCAAATGTTGACAACTCGTTGTCAACATTTCTACTTTATAGATCGTTTTCACGTGACGTCATCACTTTCTAAAATCCAAATTACTTATCTCATGATTTTGAGTCTTTTTAGAAGCTAGAGCATTATAAAAAGTGCTTATGTAAATGCTTATTTGATAAGTACTGATAATCAGTCGCCTAGATAGCCAAAGTAAGTTCCAGATGTTTACACTATTTTCCNTGAATCAAACTTAAAATGTTTATTTGTGTTCGACACAATGCATTGACTGTAGTTTAATGCGTATTCTTATGAGTCTGGGTTCACAAAGATTTTACAATTCCTGGGAATACGTTCTTATAATAAGCATCAAATAATGCCAAAATGGGGCATTTTCAATGCCTCACTGTTCCTTAATGAGCATGGGCACCCCCCTTTTTTATTTCAAAATTGAAGTTATTATATGACAAATATTCAGTGGACAAAGTTTGAACAAAACTCTATTGTCACTTTTATTTCAGAGGAATTACCTTATTTTATGACTTGAAAAACACAATAAAAGGTACAGTGAAGAGTTACCTTAAAAAAAATAGCACAGCCATTCAATTCAGTTCCATTCAGTACAGTTCCAAGGTGAAGCCTTAAAAATCGCATCTAGTTCTAAAAGTCTCAAAAAAACAACAACAACAACAACAAAAAAACGGAAAACTGTTTTGAACCACCTTAAAGAACATTTTTGGCACTTAATTTGGCTTTTTTTGTTGGGCACCATGTGTGCATTTAGGTCAAATCTTGCTATGTTTGATGTATTTTTTATTGGTTGAATCGCCATCGTTTTTTACAGGGTTTAGAAGGTCAAATTGGCGATCTCCCAGATTCACATTTTTTGTTTTGGTTGGCATCAATGTCTCTGTGTTATGTTCAACAAATAGATTCCATGTTGCCATGCATCTGTTCAGTAACAGATGACGCCAAAATGTGGGTTTTTATATAAATGCTTATTGACCTTGTACTGTAACAAGTGTATTTTTGCTTAATGCTCAGTTCCACTCGAGGCACTTTTATTCCAGAGCTATTGTCAATATCTAAGGTTTTCCGTGAGGTCTTTCTGGGAAAATCTCAGACCAAGGCCTTGCTGTATTGACCGAGGGATAGCGAGGTCATTTCGGCAAGGCCGAGGGTTGAGATTTTCCCATAAAGACCGAACGTTCAAGGTTAATAAGTAGTTTATGAAATGGCTTTTTGCTTGGTTTTTGCAAGCCGTTATTCGGCTTGTGGGCATTATGGGAGAATAATGCCCTAGTATTAGCCAATCAGAGC